CAAAACGTTATTTTAGGATACTTGGCGGTCTTTTTTCATATTTTTTATAAGACAAAGACTGAAAAGTGAAAGCCAAAGTAACCCTTATGTGTTAAGTCACAGGATATCGATTTTTCAGTTGAGTATCCTGAACAAATGGAGATTTAGTCAAGGTTATACAAAATTATATTTAAACTGATGTGCACCCTACACCACTGCCAACTTGTCTGTGTCTACTCATGATTGGTATTTTCCTGGCAATGTGGCAAAGGCTGAGAGCTTGCATCTAGTTAGAAAGAGACCTGACCTATGGTCAGGAAACCTTAGTTCTAGTTCCATTTCTGCTATTAATTGGCCATATGGTCATGATGCTGGGGTGGCTCAGTTGGTTAAGCGTCTGCCTTCGGCTCAGGTCATGATCCCAGGGTCCTGGGATCGAGTCCCACATCGGGCTCCCTGCTCGGTGGGGAGCCTGCTTCTCCCTCTCCCTCTGCTCCTCCCCCTGCTTGTGAACATGCTCTCTCGCTCTCAAATAAATAAATCAAATCTTTTTTTTTTTTTTTTTAAATCCAAATCCCTTGCCCTGGTTGGCAGAGCTGACTTGATTTGACAGCATTATCTTCTGCCATTCTCCCCATACCACTTCTTTGGTTCCTCAGCCTGCCTTCTTTGCTTCTTGCCCTGGAGCCTTTTTCTGCCTATTCCCTTCACCTGATAGCTTTCCTCTGATACCTCCAAAAGAACCTCCACAGGCTAGCCTCCTTCTTGTCATTGCATCTTAGTTCAAATGTTGCTTCCTCCAAGAAGCCAGCCCAGATCATCTGTGATAAAGCAGCTACCCACTCTCGTTCACACCCCTATTTTAACCCTCTCCATAGCAGTTATTTGTTCTTCTAACACTACTTTTAAACTTCATGAGAGGCAATCTATCTGACATTGAAAACTATTAAATTGCTAGCAAGTGTTAATGGAGTCCAACACATAATTGGTGCTCAATTAAGTTAAATGAAGGATTTGCCTATTTTAAACTCTGTGAGTGTGCATGAGGGTGTGTGTGTGTGTGCTTATCTAACATTTTTGCTTTTATCTTTATATCTTTACCTGATTCAACTGGCCAAACTATTCAATTATTTTGGTTACAGTTTCGGAGTTTTATTTATTTTTTTTTAAAAGATTTTATTTATTTATTTGACAGAGAGAGACACAGTGAGAGAGGGAACACAAGCAGGGGGAGTGGGAGAGGGAGAAGCAGGCTTCCCGCTGAGCAGGGAGCCCAATGTGGGGCTTGATCCTAGGACCCTGGGACCATGACCTGAACTGAAGGCAGACGCTTAACGATTTAGCCACCCAGGCGCCCCCAGTTTCAGAGTTTTAAAAAGGTGGTGATTGCTAAGATAACTTTTTACTAATCAATTTAATTTTATTTATTTTTTTATTTTTATTTTTTTTAAAGATTTTATTTATTTATTTGAGAGAGAGGGAATGAGAGATAGAGAGCATGAGAGGGAAGAGGGTCAGAGGGAGAAGCAGACTCCCCGCTGAGCAGGGAGCCCGATGCGGGACTCGATCCTGGGACTCCAGGATCATGACCTGAGCCGAAGGCAGTCGCTTAACCAACTGAGCCACCCAGGCGCCCCTAATCAATTTAATTTTAGAATATAGAATAGAAACTTAAGAAGTCATATTGCTTAGCTTTTTTTTTTTTTTAAAGATTTTATTTATTTGACAGAGAGAGACACAGCAAGAGAGGGAACAGAAGCAGCAGGAGTAGGAGAGAGAGAAGCAGGCTTCCCGCTGAGCAGGGAGCCCGATGTGGGGCTTGATCCCAGGACCCTGGGATCATGACCTGAGCCGAAGGCAGACACTTAACGACTGAGACACCCAGGGGCCCCTGCTTAGCTTTTTTACAGATGTGGAAGCTCAGGCCCAGGCAGGTTATGTCTAGGACCATATTACCAATTTTATTTTTAAGATTTTTATTTATTTGACAGAGAGAGAGAGCACAAGCAGGGGGAGCAGCAGGCAAAGGGAGAAGCAGGCTCCCCACTGAGCAGGGAGCCCGATGTGGGGCTCAATCCCAGGACACTGGGATCATGACTTGAGCCAAAGGCAGACGCTTAACTGATTAAGCCACCCAGGCATCTCTCAAAGTTGTTTTCTAAAAAGACTTCTGGGACGCCTGGGTGGCTCAGTCAGTTAAGCATCTGCCTTTGGCTCAGGTCATAACCCCAGGGTCCTGGGATTGAGCCCCACGTTGGGCTCCCTGCTCAGTGGGGAGCCTGCTTCTCCCTCTCCCCTCTGCTCATGCTCTTTCTTGCTCTCCCAAATAAATAAATCAAATCTTAAAAAAATAAAAAAAGAATTGTCTGTGTGGTATATCTACACACACACACACGTAAATAAAGTTGGAAACAGAAATAAATATGTATGTATATACATTCATGAGTAAGTATACACACATTTGTTTCCAGGCCTATTTTGGGTTCTTTAGATTTATTACCTCACTGAATCTTTTTATTTTACCTTTTTTAAGATTTATTTATTTTAGAGGGAGAGAGAGAGTGTGCGAGCGAGCTTGCGTGTGTGTGTGTGTGTGTGTGCACGCGTGCGTGCGCGCGCAAGTCAGGGGAGGAGCAGAGGGGGACGATGGGGAGGGAGAGGGACAAGCAGACTCCGCACTGGGCCCTGACATGGGGCTCAATCTCATGACCCTGAGATCTTATTTTATAACATGATTTTTTTAAAGATTTTATTTATTTTTTGACAGAGACAGACACAGTGAGAGAGGGAACACAAGCAGGGGCAGAGGGAGAAGCAGACTTCCCACTGAGCAGGGAGCCCGATGCGGGGCCCGATGTCAGGACCCTGGGACCATGACCTGAGCCGAAGACAGACGCTTAACGACTGAGCCACCCAGGCACCTCTCATGACCCTGAGATCTTGACCTGAGCTGAAACCAAGAGTCAGACACTTAACCAACTGAGCCACCCAGGCACCCCTCACTGAATCTTTACAACAACATTTTGAGAGAAAGACTGTTACTATCCCATCTCAGAGGTGAGAAGACTGCGAGCATAAGTAATTGTCTGGGGCTATAGAGCTAGTGCATGGCAGAGCTGAAACAGCAACCTCTGTAGGCTGGTTCCAGTGCCTGAGGTCTTAACCAGGAAGCTATACTCTTACAAAGCAAAGGGAGTATATCTAAGCAGGACACCCCTCTCCCCAAAGAACAACATGAAGGAGATAAAAGTAAATAAGCAGGAAACTGGCAGGAGTAGGGTAGCCTTATGTGTTGTGACCATCTCCTAATTAGGTTTTAGAAGTTAGGTTCTACTATGAAATCACTATAGAACACATGTGGTTTTATTTTTCCATTAAGAGAGCTGGAGATCATTTTTTCTTCATAGTTACAACTATTCTTCTCATGCTGGCCATCAAAAGGAATCATAACTGGAGTGGTGGGGGGTGGGAGGGATGGGGTGCCTGGGTGATAGACATTGGGGAGGGTATGTGCTATGGTGAGTGCTGTGAATTGTGCAAGACTGGTGAATCACAGACCTGTACCTCTGAAACAAATAATACATCATATGTTAAAAAAAAAAAAAAAAAGATAGCAGGAAGGGAAAAATGAAGGGGGGGAATCGGAGGGGGAGATGAACCATGACAGACTATGGACTCTGAGAAACAAACTGAGGGTTCTAGAGGGGTGGGGGGTAGGGGGATGGGTTAGCCTGGTGATGGGTATTAAAGAGGGCACGTTCTGCATGGAGCACTGGGTGTTATGCACAAACAATGAATCATGGAACAGTACATCAAAAACTTATGATGTAATGTATGGTGATTAACATAATAAAACAAAAAAAAGGAATCATAATATTCTTTGAGAGAAACTATATTTTGTCTAGCAAGGAATAAAAGCATTGGAGATATAAATATATAAATTGATTCAGATAACAAAAACTAACATTTACTGAAACTTACTATGAGCCAAGTACTTCTTGAAACTTTTTATAGTAATGGACTAACTCATTTAATTCTCATAACAATCCTATAAGATAGAGAACGATTTTTATCTCTGTTTCAGAGATGGAGAAATTGAGGCACAGAGAAGTTACAAAAATTGCCTAAAGTCACACAGTTCAAGCAGTAAAGCCAGGATGTGTAACCACTATAGTAAGCTGCCACTCTTAAGAGCTATGATTTTCGGGGCGCCTGGGTGGCTCAGTCAGTTAAGCGTCTGCCTTCGGCTCAGGTCATGATCCCAGGATCCTGGGATCGAGCCCTGCATTGGGCTCCTTGCTCCACGGGAAGCCTGCTTTTCCCTCTCCCGCTCCCCCTGCTTGTGTTCTCTCTCTCGCTGTGTCTCTGTCAAATAAATAAATAAGATCTTAAAAAAAAAAAGCAATGCTTTTCAGTTGCAAGTATCTGACAAATCAAATAAACATCAATAATTAATATTAAGAAAGCAATAAACCATAAAAGGGAAGTGTTCTAATGTTATAACATCGACTATAAGACTACATATTTTAAGAGCTAAGTGTTGTGCCTAAAATGTTTAAAAGAAAAAAGCCTTTGTCTTCCTCATTCAATAAATCTATTTTAGATATCTCGATGCTTTCTAACGATTTCTAAGACCAGTAATTGCAACTGGTAATTCTCAGATTTGCATTTACTTCAAATTAAACCTACCTGACAGCAGTTTTTCTGCCAAGTAACTTGTCATTATTTGCAGATTTTTTTTGGTCTGTGTCTGTGGGCAGCAGGTATATAAGGAGATTTTAAAAACTGAACAAAGAACTTATAAAATAATTAAGCTACTTTAAAACTCTTCCCAGTTGTATTTTCCCTTTGAATTTAATGCTAGGAAAAAAATAATAGTTTAAAAGTAAAATAAGCAAGATTATAAAAAATGTTTTCCTCAGAATACATAAGCAAAAAATACACATAGCCATAATTATTTGAGCAATATAAGTGAAAGCCATAAATATTTGACAGTTATCATCAAATGCTAGCATATATACCTCATGTCTTGGATAAGAGAGACCCTGAGTGTTGGCAACATAACTCCTGAGTCAGATTTTCTTCTTTCTGGTCCAAGGGCAACTATGTAAAAAAATATCAGCAAAGTATTAGAAAAATAATAGCAAGGACAAAAAAAAAAAATCTACACGGTTCACATTCTATAAATAAATATTTTCAAAATTACTTTGATAAGAACTAAAGAAAACAGAAAAGCTCATTTTTTCCCCCCTGAATGATGTCACTTTATTAATACAGTAAAACAGCTATTTTCTTTCTAATTAATGTGGGGCTGCATTTGGAAATTTAAAATGAATCATAAAAGCCCAGTTAGCAAATAATGCAATGTGTGCAAATTTTGGCCATGAGGACGAGTCATTTTCTAAACTTATTCATTCTAATAGCTCTGGATAACTACAAGAAAGCAATGTCTATAAATTAAGCTACTAAGTATGTGAATTATCTCTGGGTTCATAAATTACAATCACATAATTTCTTTATACTGTGAAAGAGTGTTTAAAATGGAAAATCTAAGAGTCTGCGCTCTCTAGTCTGGTAAGTTTCTACTTCAAAGTTCAGAATCCAAAGTACTGTATATCATGCAAAGTGAGTAATCTAAATGGACATTTAGAAGTATAATGTCTGTGAGTCATTCTCTTTGGAGCTTGAATGGTTAACATTTATAGAAGAAGGAAAGATTGTTCCCTTATATAGCAAGAGCTAAGCAATCAATTGTTGGCTAATGTATTGCAGTTGGGACTGCTCTATTTCACTTTAAGTGGGATGCTGTGGAGTTCTGTGCCCTTTCTTTATCTCCATTTTTCTATCTGTAAATGAAAACTAAATTGTAACATCACACTTTGCAAATACTTGATAACATGAGAATTTATGGTTTTTTTTTGGGTTTTACTGTATATTAAACCTACATTTTCTCAGTTTTTAGATCCATTCTACTTTGGAGAGGTGCAGTGCAGAAACACACAGATACATGTGAAGCTGGCCCGAAACATTCTGTTGTCTTAGGGTCTGCATGTTTCGGCACCTGGTGAAAGCGGCTAGGCTGATACTTGGCAGGTATAAATGAGCACTGCCAGGACAAAGAGACTATGGCCAGGCCAACCAAAAGGTAGTTCTTTTGAGGGCCTTCCACACCAGGTGGGTGATAAATAGGCCATTTGTCATGGCTGTTTCAGATGGAGTTTTCAATGGGTCACTAAAAACACTGCTTTATCTTGATACCCAAGAGGTTAACAGACACCAAGGAAACTGTTCCAGTGACTTGCAGGGAATGTGCTGTTAGTCTTCTTGTCTGAGACTCTCACCATTTAAGTATGTTGTTAATGAAAGCACACCTCTCTTTTTGGGGAGAAAGTAAAAAGTTCAGAGAACACGTCTACACTCCAGATGATTAGATATCATGAAAGAGGGCCACACTAGTGGTAAGAAATAGGTTGAAAAGAGAAAAAGAAAAAGATCATGAGGTAAGAGAAAGCAACTGAAACCATAATCAGCAACTTGGCTAGAGGGAGACATGACAACAAAAAGGAATCATGCCTCTGGAAGCAGAGTGCAGGCAAGAGGCTTAATAAAGAGAAGCCTGACATTTAAAGAGCAGAGGCATCCACCAATAATAGCATTCACAGCCCTAAGCATTTTTTGGGCATTCTATTTTGGAACCCTACTTTCTCCACTCTTCCCTGATCAGTGTTTCTTAAACATATGATGTACTTTATAAAACATCTGTTTTTAAACATTTTAAAAAAGATTTTATTTATTTATTTGACAGAGAGAGAAAGCACAAGCAGGGGGAGCAGCAGAGGGAGAAGCAGACTTCCCGCGGAGCAGGGAGCCCAATGTGGGGCTCGATCCCAGGACCGTGGATCATGACCTGAGATGAAGGCAGGCGCTTAATGACTGAGCCACCCAGGTGCCCCCAAATGATGAAAAAAATCTTTGGCTCACCCTTTAACACTTCTGTATCTTTCTCCTTGTTTACAGCCTATTTAGCATTTTAGATTGAGAGCACTCTAGCTTAATAGTTAAGAACATGGTTTTCTCAAACCCTACAGAGAACTTAACAGCTCACTGACTTTGGATGAGTAACTTAACCTCTCCATGGTCTGTTTTCTCATCTGCAAATTGGGGTCAGTAGCAATACCTACCTTATTCAAATAGATGTAAAGCACTTAGAATACTGCCTGGCTCAAAGTTAAGTTCTCAATAAATAAAATAAAATGAAACCTAGCTTTAATTTTGCCTCTTTGTGGAATCTTTCCTGAATATTCTCTCTTCCTAAGGTACACTGTTAGATGTCGTTCCCTCTAACAGGACCAGTGAAACTGAACACCTAATATAAACTTAGCATAATTTAACATTTCTATTACTGTTAAACTATATGCCTCTTGAGGCTCAGTCATATCCTTTTCTTAGAAAACCTACAGGGCCTGGTGGAGGTCCCATACCACATACATGCTCAACAAATACTCATGGAAGACGATGAGACTATTTAGGGCCAGATGGAGGAGCCTTAAATGACAAATTAGAAATCTGTACAACTCCTAGGATAGCAGGAAGGATTCTGAAAAGAATGTTATGCTCCTGAGTGCTTTTTTAGTTAGTTAACTACAGTGACAGTACTACAGTTTAAGAGAAATAAGGGTGATGAGGTAGAAGTTATTTCACAGGCCAGCTTATGGATGAACTAAGACCATGGCAGCCAGGGAGAACAAAGAGGAGAAATATGCAGTGGAAAAAAACACAGAACTTAATGACTTGATGTAGAAAGTGAGCAAGACCCAAGAGTCAAGAACAATATTAAGTATGAATATAAAATGATTTAATAAAAATTATCTCATTGAATTATTACTTTCCTTTGGATTTGTTAATCTTAATGTTGCAAATGAAGAAACTGAGGCTCAAAGAGGTCAAGAAACTCGCCCAATTGTACATATTCATCAAAAGGGGCAGAGTATTCTGATGTCATGTCCACTGGGCTTTCTGTTATATTCCAGATGACTTTCTAGCTTCTAAGCTTGATTGAGAGAAGAGTACTGTTGCCATTAAATAATGTGGAGAGAAGGGAGAAAGCCTAACTGGGACAGAGGGAGAGGTGCTGAGATCATTAGTTTGTTTTCAGATGTGCTGAGTTTGAGGTCCCACTGGGCCATCAAGGATGGATGTGTAGGACCCAGGGCTGGAGAAAGAGATTTGTGAATAATCTGTTAACCAGATAGTTGGAGGGTGACATGGGAGGTAGGCAATAGTAGTTATATTATGGTTTGAATTATGTCCCCCAAGAAGATGCAGAAGTTCCATCTCCCAGGACCTGTGAATGTGACCTTATTCAGAAATAGGGTCTTGGTAGATGACCAAGTTAAGATGAGGTCATTAGGGTGTGTCTTAATCCAATGTGACTGGTGGATGACATTATAAAAGGGAAATTTGGATACAAAGACAGACAGGAGTAGAGAAAAGATGAAGACACATGGAATATGCCATTTAAAGGTCAAGAAATTTCTGAGATGACCAGAAGCTAGGAGGGAAGAGTGGGACAGATTCTCCTTCACAAGCCACCCCTGCTGACACCTTGACTGTGGACTTCTAGCTTCCAGAACCATGAGACAGTTGTTGTGTAAGCCACCCAGTCTGTGGTACTTCATTACAGCAGCCCCAGGAAACCAATACAGTAATTTATTAGTGACTTTTGGAGGGAACAGTTCAGAAGCCTGTGAGCAGAAAGCAGTTAATGAGTGAAGCCATACTTTTCACCTAGAGAGCTAAACTCTAAGGTCTCCACGAAGTCTACTCCAGAAGAGAAACTTATACACGATTTAAATGTATACATATATTCCTATTTCTTATTTTAATACACTCAAATGTTAACAGGCCACTTTCTCCTTCAACATAAACACTTGTGGATTTAATATTTAGCCACAGGAATTCTTTTTGTATATCTGCCTGAATCAAAGCTGCTACATGGGCAGGAAGTCTGCAGAGCACAGAGACTGTACGCATTGTTTTTATACCATCTACAGTCTGCAGGCAAGTAAGTAAAGAAAAACCTTTTTTAAAGTGAGTTCTATGCCTAATGTGGGGCTTGAACTCAGGACCCCAAGAGCAAGAGCTGCATGCTCTACTGATTGCTAGGCACCCCAATAGCAAAAAATTGTTTTAAGATTTTATTTGAGAGAGACAAAGAGAGCACACAAGCGAGCATATGGGGGGGAGGAGCAGAGGGAGAAGCAGGCTTCCCGCGGAGCAGGGAGCCCGATGTGGGACTCGATCCCAGGATCCCAGGATCACGACCTGAGCTGAAGGCAGACGCTTAACTGACTGAGCCACCCAGGTGCCCCTCTAACAGAAAAATTTTGAAGAAGATAATTGAAGAGTCTCTCAAAATTCTAAGGCTAGACCCAGAATAACCATTTAAAAGCAGTATTTCCACCCCCTCCTGCATCCTACTCCACTCCTTGCCGACCGATTTAAAAATCCATTTAAAGCTTAGTGGAACCTTGTCCAAAGATGCAAGGTTTAAGAACACCACCTATGTTTAAGCTGGCCAACATTTTTAAAGGCAGAAACTTTTGGGTAATATGTCAAGAACAGTCTTCTTTCTAGGGTCAATTGCATTCTGAGATCCTGTCTCTGCAATAGGACTTCGAACTAGCCTACTAGGTGCGGTGACTTGGTCAAAGTTAAGACAGTCTGAAAGACATGGAGGAAACTTAAATGCATATTACTAAGTGAAAGAAGCCAATCTGGAAAGGCTACATACTACATGACTCTTAACTATATGACATTCTGGAAACGGCAAACTATGGATATAGTAAAAAGGCCAGTAGTCAGGCGCCTGGGTGGCCCAGTTGGTTAAGCGACTGCCTTCGGCTCAGGTCATGATCCTGGAGTCCCAGGATCGAGTCCCACATCGGGCTCCCTGCTCAGCGGGGAGTCTGCTTCTCCTTCTGACCCTAACCCCTCTCATGTGCTCTCTCTCATTCTCTCTCAAATAAATAAATAAAATCTTAAAAAAAAAAAAAGGCCAGTAGTTGCCAGCGATTAGGGGAAAGAGACGGATAAGTAAGTGGAGCACAGAGAATATTATTAGGGTGGTAACACTATCTGATGCTATAATGGTCAATCCATGTCACTATACATTTGTTTAAACCCACAGAAGGTACAACCAAGAGTGAACCCTAATGTAAACTATGGACTCTGGGTAATGATGTGTCAACGTAGGTTCATCAACTATAAGAAATGTACCACTCTGGTAGGGGATGCTGATAATGAGGGAGACTATGCATATGTGGGGGTGGAGAGTATATGGGAAATCTCTGTATTGCTGCTCAATATTGCCATGAACCTAAAACTGCTCTAAAAAATAGAATCTATTTAAAAAAATTAAGATAATCTACCCTATGACCTTCTTGTTAAGACAGACTTTTTCCATTCTTCTACAACCTTTAAAATATCTCTGACTCCTGTTTTGTGTTGCTTTGGAAAGAATAGTAATGATCCATCATAGAGACTCATCCTGGCTCAATGCTAGTAACAGCAGTGTTCAAACATACTGTGAATTTCTAAGTACACAGAGGATCTCTCCTTGTTATGAAAATGCAGACTGTTTACTGCCATTAATTAGGATGCTTAACAGTTGGTAAACAGAAGTATTTTTTTGGGGAAAAAAAAAAACCCACCCAGATTTAAAAGCAGAAAAGTCAATAAACTGCTAATTTCTATATAATTAGAACACACTGCTTCTCAATAATGAAATATTTTTAAGCTAATGTTTTTATATATATTTCACACTGTCATATTTTAAAATTGTGGGCTGAAGTATCAGAAGTGTTAGAGCATTATTTATAGTAAAATCCACCCTTCCTAACAGACAGTAAATTTGATTTCAAAAGCTACATGGCTTACATTAATCCTACTTAGGATCAGTAAAATATTTAGCCTATGTTCATACTTTGTGTGTGTGTTCACTGTATGAGGCTTTGCCACATTTGATACTTCTTAGCCTTGACTTCTGAGTTTTGCTGGTCCCCCTGACTAATAAAGCAGCTGAGTCTCTGACTGCCACCTCAACTACCCAACACTTGACCAGACAGCTGGACATGCTTGCATGCCACATTTGGCAAAAGGGCCAAATATCCCCAATCTCCCTGCCTTACTTAATCGAGCTCGATTTTCCAACGTTTCATCCTACAAATGGCTATTTCTTCCTAGAAATTTATTTTTTCTAATTAGGGTAAACTATCTGGGTTATGGTCTTATGATCTGAACAGCTAAATTTTCTATGAACACAGCTAAGTGTTAGAGATAGTTTCAGGGCAAACACCAATGCATTTTTACTTTTTTCAACAGAAAAAGGAGCAAAGGAGATGGATACTAGAGAATGCTTTTAAACTTGATCTTAATCTTTAGAAATATAGTTACATCTTGGGACATGAGAACTTTGACATTCTATTTAGTGGAGCTTTTGGTTAATGCACTATCAAATTCATATTCCTAGCTGTCTCAGTAAATACCTTTAAAAACTAGGTTTCCAAATCAAAAACTAATGATGTAATGTATGGTGATTAACATAACAATAAAAATTATTAAAAACAAATAAACAAACAAAAAACTAGGTTTCCAAGAATAAACACCACATTTAGGGTAGTACTGCAATGAGGGGAATGGAAGTAGGGTATGCTTCAATCATATTTGCAATGCTTCCTTAGCTGGTGGTTGGCTTATGAGTTTTTAAAAAAATTTCTGAATGTCTAAAATCCGTAATTTTAGAAAAGGTTCCCAAATTGCTGATTCAGTATAAAACATTTTATATCTACTAACTTTCTACCATTACTACTACTTTTTGTGAAATAGATGGTTATTTTACATAAAGAAAAATACATATAAGGCAAAACATCTAGGAACCCTACATAACTCTAATTAGCTAAAGTATAATAACACTTCTAACACGTGGTGTCTTGCTTTAAATTGAAAAATCTGACTCATGAAGACTTTTGAGACATATATAGATTTTTTTTTCTGGGAGAGATTATTAATGATGGTTATAAAGCTTAAGGAAAAAAAAACCAGTATGCACTACACCCTAACAGTGGCCAGAGTAAGGTATACTTGTATGATCCTTTATAATTCATTAGGGGTTTCCACGTTATCTTACTTAATCAACATTATAGTTTTACATAGCTTAACATTATTTTCCCTGTCTTATGGATGAGGAAGCTGAAGATCAGAAAGGTCAAGTGACCAAGATCTTTTCCCAGATCTCACAGCTAGTAAGTAATTTTGCTTCTTCTACTTTATCCCACTACTGGCAAGGTGGGTAAGTTTCAGCCTGAGAGAGAGGTAAAGACAAAGCCATATGGTATTGATTCTTCACATAGTCTAATGCTGCCAGTTCTGCAGAAACAAACCAATGAACTCTCACCTGGCGATTCTGCAAGGTGCTCTTGCTTCTCTTCTCTGTCCTGAAACTGAATTAAATGTGACCACAAAGCTGACTTCCCCTGAAATTACAAGGTATAAAAAAGTTTTTCATTTTATAAGAAATAATCAAAAAATAATTTCTCATCAAAACCATTCACATCTAAATGGTCATTTTGAAGTTTGGAGATATCCATTCCAGCTGTGTGATATTCTGAGCAACTCACTCCATGTGAAATGAGGGTCTTCCATTGCCTCACCGAAAAGATTAGCAACAGCCCGGGAAGGGCAGCTAAACAAAAGGCCAGAAGTACAGGTGTGGAGACTTCTCACTTCAGTTCAGGTGTTACTTCGTTGTATGTAATTAGGACTGTCTACACTGGCCACACTGGAAACCACAGAATTAAAAGGCTCTAGCAGCAAAGAATGTATTTTTGTACACTTACAGGCAAAATATGTTTGGATGTATGGGATGGCAGCTAGGGAAGACAACTGGAGCCAGAGGAGAAAGGGAAAAGGGGAGGAAGGAAGAATATGTCGACAAGAGGGGGAAAAAAAATCAGAACAGGAGATAAGAGGGACAAAAGCAAAGAAACCATTTGATTTTTTCCACCCTGAATAACTACATGACATAAAAAGGTAAAGAACTGTTAATTCTGGCTAAAAGAGTTTTTTCCTGGACAGTGACGAAAGCAGACACTTAATGGACTCAATGGGATATAACCTCTGCAGTAAACGTGATGTTTTATCCTTTCCTGTTTACCAGGAAAGAGCCCCAAACCACCTCTTAATCATGGGTTTTATTTTCTTTTTCTGGAATTAAAAAGCCGGTGGTGCATTTCTAGTCATCCTGTGACAAAGGAACATATCCTTTAATTTTTCATCTTTTTCTCCTTGTTCATTTTTTTATTCCTTTTTTTTTTTAAATATTTATTTATTTATTAGAGAGAGAGAGGAAGACAGCGTGGGAGAGAGGGACAAAAGAAGAGGGAGAGAGAAACTCAAGCTGACTCTGTACTGAGCCACAGAGCCTAACGCGGGGCTTGATCTCATGACACTAAGATCATGACCTGAGCCAAAATCAAGAGTTGGAAGCTCAACCGACTGAGCCACCCAAGTGCCCCTCGTTACATTTCTTGACAGGGTTCCTTACCAGCCACATCACCAGGACCTCCTGAGACTATTACCTGCTTGATCTGCAAGCCGTGGCTCCATATCCTTTCCAGTAGGTCACAGAGGCTGGCGATCAAGGTGTTCTCTTCCAAGCCGGTTATGTTTGCTTCTCCATGGCCCAGTTCCACTGCTTCATGTCCCATCTTCTCCACTAACATGCGCTTTGTCTGAAAGCATCATGTGTGGTCACAGGTGTTATCCCCGCAATGAAGCCAAAGACCAACAAGTCAACTACTAGATCAGAGACCTGGGTTCCCTTCATTATTATTATTATTTTTTAAAGATTTTATTTTTAAGTAATCTTTACACCTAACACTCGAACCCTGTACAACCCCAAGATCAAATGTCACACACCATGAACTGAGCAAGCCAGGTGTCCCCTCTTCATTATACTTCTAATTGTAGACTTTTATTACTTTGGGAAAAGTGTCTTAATCTCTTTGGTCAACTAACTGCAGTAATATCACATATGCTTTTGAGTATTTTGTCAGATAAATAGGGGGTCACTGGAAGGAGATTATAATACTATTTTATCTCTCTCTCTCTCTATATATATATATATTTATTTTGCCTCCACACAATACTATTTTATTTTATTATTATTTTTAAAGATTTTATTTATTTATTTGACAGAGAGAGGGAGAACACAAGCAGGGGGAGTGGCAGGGAGAGGGAGAGGAAGAAGCAGGCTCCCTGCAGCGCAGGGGGAGCCCAATGTGGGACTCGATCCCAGTATCCTGGGATCATGACCTGAGCCGAAGGCAGTGGCTTAACCAACTGAGCCACCCAGGCACCCCCCCAAAATACTAAAGTATCCCCATGTAAATACTTATGATTGACAATTTCCAGATTACTAACTTGAGTAACACTGGGGAATTGCACCAGACCCGGAAAACGTACTGTAAGAATCTGAAACCCATCCTGCCACCACAACTAACCCTCCACTGCCCCTGCATCTTGGCATACTGAAGATATCTGCAGTTAGTTTTGATTGCACTTAAGCAAAAAACACAACACAAACAGGCAGCTCTAAATTTTTTCAGAACTCCCTAATTTGTGAGTGAACCGGGCCTCTTTTATCTTGTCTCTGCTCATGAGTATGCACCAGAAAATGGAAGGGAAATGGAAATCAGTTTCAAGTAAGTAATTTACAGCAGTCTTAGCTGCATTTATAAAATGTAAAGAGAGAGAGACTATAGTCCCTTTAGGTGGGGACCTTGTCTCTGATTCAACACTGTATGCTGATGCTGAAAATAGTACATTTATTGAATACACACAGAAGGTACTCAAGAAATGACTGTCAAATAAAAGAATGAAATTACTGGCTAAAATGATGTCCTGAATTTTGTCGATGTGTATTACTACCTTTGATAAACATGGTATCTAAGAAGAGACTAGTGTGTAATATACATAAACCTACAACACAGCTAAGGTCTTCTTCCTTATGGGTATACATACATGTATGGGCATGGACAAGGTTCTATACAAAAAATGTGTTGCTTTTCATATAAAATGACCACATTCCTGCACACTTTTTTATTTTTTCAAGTAGGCTCCACATCCAACATGGGGCTTGAATTCATGACCCTGAGATTAAGAGTCAAATGCTCCAGGTGCCTGGGTGGCTCAGTCAGTTAAGTGTCCAACTCTTGACTTCAGCTCAGGTCATGATCTCAGGGTCATGAAATCGAGCCCCGTGTTGGGCTCTGCGTTCAGTGAGAAGTCTGCTTGAAGATTCTTTCCCTCTGCCCCTCCCCTCACTCTCTCTAAAAAAAACCCAAACCAAACAAACAGAAAAAGCCCAAAGAGTCGCATGCTCTACCAACTCAGGCAGCCAGGTGCCCCACAACTTTTGACTGGCTTAATATCTGTTCATGTTTTAGAGGAAGACAGCAATGGCTGAAAAGGTGAGAAAAACTGTGCAGGGCTCCCACGTCACTGATTCTGTGGGCAACAGAGAACCCATGAAGGTTCATGAGCTCAGTAAAGAGCACATGAGGTTCATGCCCCAGTAAAAGTTGTCTTCTAGCAAAGCTACAGGCTCAAATGGGAATTGAGTGCACACTGTCTCACATCAGTGAGTAACACATACCTTCATTCTACATTCTTTCAATAAGCCTTCTACAAATTTGCAGTTGGTCTGTGCAATCACTGCAGGAGAGAGGTCTGACAGTTTGGGCTGCCTCAGGTTTTTTCCTAAACTTCGTGCCTCTTGCATATATTTCTAAAAATTAAAGAGTATTTTTTAATATATAAACATCAGATAGTCTTACGACTTTCTTAACATTACACAAACAAGTGAGGAAAAACAAGATGCAGAAAAGGCTGTAAATGTACTCATGCAGTAGCAATTCAAGTTTTAGCGCCACCAATAGGCAGAGAACACTCGTGTTCCCCCACCCCCCAGTCGTTAATGTCTGTGGAAATGAGGGCAACAGAAATCGTGTCAGGTTAAAACACATTCATAATAAGATGGAGCTCACCTAGTTTAATCTTTTTATTGGGAATACCCAGGGTTGTGATCAGTCAGGATCATGATAGGGATGAAAAAAGTTGGGGTTTCTGGATTACTAATCCAAGGTTCCGCAAGAACCACTGTTTCCTCCTCTCCCCACAGATCAAGAGACTTAACATACTGTTAGCCTCTTAGAGCTCTCCAAAGCAACCCTTTGCTCTAATCAAATTATAACAGTAAAATCAGGAGCTCTAGAATCTGGCTGCAACTAATTTTATAAACTCAGGCCTATTTGCTTATTTGTAAAATGGGCAATAGACTGCAAACTCACTCTGAACATGTTTGCTACATTCCCCCCCTTGCCTTGTTCCACAATCAAGAGAGAGTGGGGACATTATATTACTTTCAGAGATAGTGATGGCTCAGAGAGAAACCCAGAAAGTCAGAAACCCAGTCCACTGCTCTTGAGCTTTAGTTAGTGAATGTCCAGGAAAAAAAAAAAAAATCACTCTAGGTGATTACCACAGGACACCTGTTGTCTCTCTTCTTTCTGTGCCACCTGCAAAAGCTCATCCAGACAGTTTGTTTGCGTCAGGACCACAGGGCAGAATCTCCAAAAAGTCCAAGTGTCTTAGGGCCATATTTAGAGAATAACTACTCTAAGTTATATAGTAAAACTAGCGCAGTTTGTTGAGGGGAGAGAGAGATTGTGAGCCAGCACATCCTCCCACAGGCACATATGTGAAATCTATCTTTACTATCTCAAGGGAAGAATTTGATGTTACAAGGGAAAATGTGTAAAATCCTTTACATTCTTTAAATAAAAGGGAGTTTGTACATTTAAAATATTTCCCCTTTGGAAGAAAAATAATCTGCTAAATCTTGTACAAATTTCTAAAAATTCCCACTGATTAGAGATTCAACTGATCAGTTTACCTGCTACTACATAAACAAAATAATCTGTTTCCTTTCCAGTGCAATCATTTTAAGGACAGATTTTTAAAAAATGAACGCTGCAAGAATTTAGTGCCCATAGTATTTGCATATGCATCTTTCACTTCAAATCTCTTTTAGAGGGTCAAAGAAACAGGGAAAATTGAGAATGAAAGATAACTATCACCCCTGGGGAAATTAAGTGTAATAAGGTCTAACAAAACATCCTGAAAGTTAGTTTTCAAGTAAATAAAAAGCAGGGAAAGAAAAGCTTCAGAAAAACCAACCTGAGATATAAGGCAGAGATCCTATCTGGGAATTATAACACCTGCATTTCCTAACATTTCAGGTGGTACAGATATTATCTGGAATATTACAAATCAGGGACAAAAGGCTGGTAAAAACAAATGTTAGCTGTCAAATGTTGAAGGGATTGTTTCTCCCCAGCCTCAAGTTCCTCGACCTTTAGGATCTGTGCAAAGGCAGGACTCAGTTCTCAAGAAGAGGGAAGGATCCAATTTAGCTTAGGAAGAAACACACTGGCTAGAAGAAGAGTGAGAAACATGGGCAAGAGGCTACGAATAGGTCTTGGTATTTCTCTTTTTTTCTGAAATATATGAATAATTAGACTTTTAAGTCCATAACTAGATTAGGAATTTAAGCACTGTTAAAGTTTATGGTTCTATTTTATAAATGAAAACAAGCTAGAATGGAGCTATTCTTCAGTCATATTTACCAAGCACACAGCACATCACATATAGGGCAATACAATTATTAGCCAAGAGTAAACTCCATAGGGCCAAGTCTCCTCCTGGGCAGCTCTGCTGAAGCCATGGAATGAGCAACATTCCTTGCACATACACATAAAGGATATGGGTGGGGGGGAATGAGGCCCTTCCTTACAGCAAGAAGTGATGTTGCCTCTGTATATTGCAAAAATAGAAGGCTTGCCTTTACAGTAAACAAGTGATGATAAAAATGTAATTTTCTTTGGGGTAGCAGGAGGAAAAGGTGTATTTTAAGGTAAAAAATGGAGAAGAAAGAGAAACCTTTCACAAGGAATGTTTTTGTAAGAAAGTCCATTTCATTACTAGAAGGAAGTGACCCCAGATTTCTTCTGAGATTTCTACCATGCTCTTTTTCATTTCTGTCAAAGCCAAAAACAACAAACCAGGAGTCCTAAGTTACTCTTGCCCTCAGGTGAGTAGCTGTTGTCTGCAACCTGGTATCCAGGGGGTACTGGGAAGAGTACCAGTTTGGCTGGTACTATAGGCCCAGCTCTGCCTTTGTGTGTCCATTTAACTTTGGGCAAGTCTCTTGGACTTCATGTTATGTTAGACAAGGGGACCTCAAAGGTGCCTCTTAGAACTAAGATCCTATACTGATGACCTCATTTTCTGACCACGTAAAATACAGACCATGAATAAAGGAAATAAATTTCAAACTAAAAACAATAAAAAAACCCAAACCAAAACAACAACAACAAACCCCCAAAAAACAGATCAGGAAGGGCTCATTAAAACACGTGGAGATAAAAACCAGCAAGAAAAGAAAAGAAAATCTGTTCAAAATGAATTATTTATCTCTGCAAAATGCTTAAATAAAAGGGACTTTGACCATTTAATACATTTCTCCCTTGGAAGAACAACAATGTGCTACGTCTCTGGCCCCGCTACAACTCCCCCCACCCCTCACCTGCCAAAATACCACTAATTAGGAATTCCAGTGATCAGTTTTACCTGCCAACAGTATAGAATTACCTGTGTTAGCACACACCACCAGGAAAAGTTAACAGACACAAGAGGAAGTGGAGAGCCAAGTGGAGAGGCTGACAATTCACGTCACAAGGTGATGTGGGGCATTCTAGAGCTACGTGCACACACGCATGTGGGTAATTCAAGGAACACCAGAGACAAGACTCAGGAACATCTGCAAAGCACTTTCAGGCAAAGAACATACCAGGCAGCACTCAGAGAAGGATTTTTTAGGAAGTCGTGCAGGAGGAGGTGGACCCTGATCCCACTCCCAGAATGCCATGGAGTTCTGACAGACCACAAGTTCCCCGGAAGGCTAAGAGGATGGAGAGTGCCAATGACAGAAAAGCAAAAAAGAAAAGGATAGGGAGAAAGAGACAAGCAAAACATGCATGCATATGATAAAGTCACAGGAGAAGGGGAGAGAAGAAAATATGGTAGCACAAAGAAAAGCACTAGACAGATTGTGCTTCGGTTTTTAAGAAAATGTTTAAAATCATAAATGTATGAACATTTTAACAGAAAAGCAATATGTATTTGGAATGATGTTTTCTGCTTTATTTCTACACATCTGAGTTTAGAAAATAGTTAACAGATCTTCTGACTGCATTCTTCTTTGATCACAATAGTCAAAACTTAACAATTATTCAAATGTATAATTATGGTTTTATTTTCAAGTAGTACAACTAAAGCATAAGGATCTTAATTCAAAAATAATTTCTAAACACTTTATAAAATGGTGTCAGCAAGCCAAGGATAAAGCACAAGCAAATACATCTTTACTTACTAAGTTTATGCCTGAAACTTAAAAAGTCTGTTTCTTGTATATTTTTTTCTCTATAGGAGACATACTGAATAAAAATTTATACTAAACTTAGCCTTTACTTGTACACAGGGAGATTTGTTTTAGAGCCTGATTTTAGGTGTATTAAAATTACAAAAATGGGGGGAAAAAGGTGTTTTCTGATGTAAGTCAGTACAAAGGGATTACTATTTTAAAATAAAACTGAGCCATTTTGTAAAAGAATGCTGAAGAACCTGCACAGCGACAACTGCTGGGTTGAGTAAGGCATCCTGGGAAGGCAGCCCACATACCTCCCGCAGGTCATTGTCCAATCCAATGTGCTCCGAGTGTTGGCGAAGGCGGTCTTTCCTGCGCTGCGCCGTGGCACTCCGACTTACCCAGCGACTGGAAAAGGAGCCATACCCAAGAAGGTGCGGGTTAAGACAAAAAACGAAACAAACAAAAAAATGTGATAACTTATTTTTAAAACAGAAAAAATGTATTCTTAAAGACAAAAGATTACTTATTTTTCAATCAATTCTTTAAATACAGAAAGCTTTATTGTAATATAATTAAATACCATACAATTCACCCATTTAAAGCATACAATTTAGTGGTTTTTATATTCAGAGACATGTAACCATCACTACAATCAATACTTTTTTAAAAACTGAGGTTAAAAAACACACAGTATCTCCTCATAATGATCCTCTCCCTCTCACTTTACTGTCCAGCAGAGCCCCAAACCCTAGATGAATTCCATCCCCTTACTTCTCTATTCTCCTATTTACGTGGGACTAGTTCTTGATTTCTGCCTGACTCCTCATGAATCACTTTACCTGCCCTTCATCAACTCTCTCCCATTACCCTCAAAAACTGTTTCAAATCAAGTGCCTCCCCTCGACTGATGACCCATCCTTGACTCCTTCTTCCTGTCCTCTACTGAAATGATGTATATACAGACACCTCATCTTTCTTTTAATCCCAAAGTATAAAATATATTGGCCATGGCTCAAAATTAATTCTGCCACCTGGAAGAAACTCCCTGACCAATTCTCTCTTGACTTCTTCAACAGGCTGCACTAGTCATCTCTTTTTCTTTATCTCCGATTTTTCTCTCTCAACTAAGTATTTCCCTTCAGCTTACAAGCACGCTGGTCTCTTTCCTGACCCTCTACAGTTATAGTTAAGTTTCTTTCTTCACTCTCCTCATGAAAGAATTCTTAAAAAGAAAACATGACATGTAAGGCCTCCACTTGTTTACCTTTGGATCTGTAGTTTACCTCAAATCAGCTTCCCCGGCAATGCTCTTAAAAATATATATATATATATATTTTTTTTTTTTGGAAGATTTTATTTTTGACAGAGAGAGAGAGAGTGTATAAGCGGGGGAAGCAGCAGGCAGAGGGAGAGAGAGAAGCAGACTTCCCGCTGAGCAGGAAGCCCGATGCGGGGCTCGATCCCATCATGACCTGAGCCTAAGGCAGACACTTAACCGTCTGATTTTAGGTGTATTAAATTAAAGGGCGCCCCCCCGCCCCAGTAATGCTCTTGATGCCATTTATATCCCTAACTGCCATATCCAGGGCTATCATTCAATTCTTAGCTTACCCAAACTCTCTGCTACACTTAGTACTACTTTACAACCAGCTAGTTTCAACTATGTCAGTATTTCCAGTGGGGTCAAGTTCTGTCACCTTTGCACCTTTGTCCATGACGTTTCCTCCTGATTTCTATTCTTCTTTCAGATAGCTTTAATGCTACACTGAAAGTGTTCTTTGATTCCTCCAAATCTAAACTGTCTACCCCTCTTCCACTCCCCAATTTTATTACTCGTCACAGTCTATTATAAGCGCTTATCTCTATTTTCTACAAAATTCTCTCTACTCTAATAAACTCTTGAAGGGCTGGTATCATGTCTGTCAGCTGTTTGCTTTTTTAAGATTTATTTATTTATTTATTTGAGAGATAGAGAGATAGGGAGATAGGGAAAGAGCATGAGTGGGAGGGGAAGAGAGGGAGAGAGAGAGAATCTCAAGTAGACTCCGCGCTGAGCACAGAGTCCAGTGCGGGGCTTGATCGCATGACTCTGAGATCAAGACTTGAGCTGAAAACAAGAGTTGGATGCTTAACTGACTGTACCACCCAGGTGCCCTGCTAGGCCTGCTAATTTTGTTTAGGCACAGGCCCCTGTGCGCCCTGCTAATTTTGTTTAAAAAAGTGTGGACATGCACACCAGGATCCATGCAATGGAAGAGCCTAACAGCAAATGTTAACATCTCATGGTGATGGCATTATGGGTGTTTAAAATTTACCCTATCACTTTCAAATATTCTAAATTTTCTAATAAGCATATATTATTTTATATCAAACTATTTAAAAAAATTTTTCAGATCTTGAGCGCCTGCGTGGCTCAATTGTTAGGCGTCTGCCTTCAGCTCAGGTCATGATCCCAGGGTCCTGGGATCGAGCCCTGCATCAGGCACCCTGCTCAGCGGGAAGCCTGCTTCTCCCTCTACCATTCCCCCTGCGTGTGTTCCCTCTCTCGCTATGTCTCTGTCAAATAAATAAATAAAATCTTAAAAAAAATTTTTTCCCCCAGATCTTGACTTATTATCCACATGACTATGTATTCACCACACTTTTCTAAGAATATCTTCTCTTGAATATATCCTTGACAGCACAGAGCTATATACAATTTAAAAAATGAATTTATGCTTTTGCCATTCAGGAAAAGTCATACTGTATTACTGCCAGTTAATTATTTTTAATTTTTTATTTAATAAAACATGCAATTTACAAAAAGCTTAAAATGAGAATGTGGCTTCTTCTGTTGCTTTTTAAAAATAATTTATGCATGCCTCTGGTTTCACGTTTCTGAATCATCTCATTTCAGTCTGCCATTTAGAGGAACACTGAATAATTATGATAAAAATGATAGCAAGGTAGTCCCTCTTAAATAGTTAAGAAAAATAGGCTTATATTGGGACAAAAAGTGCAAAATCCTAGTGATAGATCTTTGAAGTAGAATCCTTGGAACTTTCCCAATAGCAAAGGATCAAAGTAAGACTGTAAAAAGGATACAAAGAGAACTAGGGTGACTGAGAAAGAAGATCCAGAAAAAAGCATATTAAGACAGACAAAGATTCTTTGCTTGATCAAACTTTAGTTAGGCTCCTGAACCTTCTCCTAGGTCCATCTGTGCACTTCCTTATAAAATCTAGTTTTAACAAGAACCTTGTTAAGTCAGTTCAGCTGTAACCTCCCTGCCCCACCATCCTCGGCACATGATCATTCTCCGTATCTGATCAGCTTCTACATCATCCATCACCCTCCAGATGTCTGATCACCCAGCCCTACCTTCAGCAAGATCTTATTAGGTTGGTTTAGTCAAAATCCTCCCCCCTACCTCTGATGTTTCCTCTTAGTAATTTTCTCTCCACTCTGCTACTTGATTATAAATTCCTATTTATCCACATTGTATATGGAATAGAGTTCAATCTTTCTCCCACTGCAATGGTCCCTACATGGCCCCCCTTGACTAAAGTCTGTCTTAACATCTTCAACAGTGTCATGGATATTGTTTTTCTTTTAACGACTTTGAAGCAGAATATAAACACCAGCTGATAAATTTATATAATAAACAACAGGGAAATATAAGTAACAAACAAAATGTACAGGCCTTAGAAATAGCTCTGTAGCAAGAAAGGTCAGTGAGAGACAGTAAATTAGGGTTACTGGACAGGGTAGGTTCAAATAAATAGTAAAGATAGGAAATAGACTAAAATACCAGCTAATGAACTTATTTTTTTTTTTTAGATTTTATTTATTTAACAGAGAAAGAGATAGCAAGAGCAGGAACACAAGCAGGGGGAGTGGGAGAGGGAGAAGCAGGCTCCCCACTGAGCAGGGAGCACAATGTGGGACTTGATCCCAGGACCCTGGGATCATGACCTGAGCTGAAGGCAGACAGATGCTTAACGACTGAGCCACCCAGGTGCCCTAATGAACTTATTATATAATGAATAAAGAAAAGGAGAATACAAACGGCAGAATAATTCCCTTCGCAGGCAAAGTGGAAAAGGCTTTAGGTAAAGAAAAGGATAAATTTTAACTTACATGATATACCTAGCATCTCACTATACATTGCTGTGAGACAAAATGCCCTATTTTATTTTCAAAACAGGGATATGATCATCTGCTTAAGAAAATTACTATGAAGTCTACACATTCCTGGTCTTGTTAAGGAATTACTTTCTTCTTTTTATTATTAAATCTCATTTACTAAGCATATTTTTTATCAAAGATGATCACATTTGCTAAAATCCTAATGACTGCTTATTTGCTTTTGCTTTGTAAGCAGCATATGAAATTCTAATAGTTGATCAGCCATTTGCAGAGGCATGGTTATGTATCTCCTTATCCTGCAATGAGTTCTTAGATCTTTCTTTCAGACTAAAATCTACCTGAAAATGTAATACTTGGGGCTCAGTCTGGAAATAAGAGACCTTGGGGTTATGTACGAGATTAAAAGCAAGAAAACAAGGCAGGAAAATTTATTTATTTATTTATATTTATTTATTTATTTGCCAGAGAGAGGGAGAGGGAGAGCACAAGCAGGGGGAGTGGCAGGCAGAGGGAGAAGCAGACTTCCTGCTGAGCAGGGAGCCCGATGCGGGACTCGATCCCAGGACCCTGAGATCATGACCTGAGCCGAAGGCAGACGCTTAACGATCTGAGCCACCCAGGCGCCCAAGGCAGGAAAATTTAAAGTTGAAATCTTCCCTCCTTAATGCTCCTTACTTCCCTTTTCTGCTTTATTTTTCTTCACAAATCTCATCACTGATAGGTTACTTATTTTACATATTAAGTTTCTTTGTTTCCTCCTCCTCCTCCTTTTGTTGTTTTGTTCATTGCTAAACTCCCAGTGAACAGGACACTGCCTCACATACAATCAGGGTTCCATAAATATTTGCCAAATGAATGAATGAGTAAACTAATGCTATTAAAGAGGAAATAAAAACTACTTAGATTTATAGTCTACTAGGATGAAATAATTCAAACAATTAGGATACTTTACAAACATAGGAAAAATAGGTAAACTGATGACTAGTCTATTCTGATGGAAAATTCTCATTCATTTCTGAAAAATCAGAACATCTAGGACAATCATCTGGAAAGTTTGAACCCCCATAATGTTTAATATCTCTTCCAGAGTCTCGTGCTCCACTGACATAATTCTTTTACTTTACTGCATTGCACTCCTTTTCCAACTATGTAAATGGTACTGGGATGAAAATTTTCCAGACCTCCAGGCTTTATGAATGAGACATCATGAACATGGTACCTGGAGTAAGGGGACCTGAGTTCCACTCCTAACTCTGCCAGTAATTCAAGCTCAAGACTCCTACCAACACATAATAATGCCACTGTCTTCAGGGTTAGGCTATTTGACTTCAACCATTGCTTCATGTAGTTCTTCACTTGGGAAGATGGTGCCTACAAATCTATCTTGCTCCTCAGAGTATTATTCTATCTTCTTTGGGGCCAACCCTTTTAACAGAGTCCAGTTTAAGGCAGAAGTGAGGTATCTGAGGGCTCTTTCATTGTGGATGATCTTGTCACACTGGAGACACAAAACCGAAGTGGCACTGAGCCACCTGAATTTTCAGAAAGCAACTAGAGAATCAATGAAGGGAATAAAAAAAAAAAAAGAATTATGCCTTTTGACCTAAATGGCCCAAACTAAATAAGTTATATTAAGGTGGCTTAAAAGTATGATGTTTTCTTTCAGATGATTTGTGAAACTATGTATTACAAAATTTTTGGTACTTATCTCTTTCTCATAGTACACATTTATGTTCAATATTTTAGGCTATTCAAAATTTCCTGGGGGCTACCAAAGCACAGTTTCCAAATCCAAAATTTCTGAAGTAACTGAGCCAGATAGTATGTATATGTGGTTTAACAGTTAAGGGCTTGAGCCCCCGAATCAGCAGAGCTAGGTTTGAATCTTAGTTGCACCACTTCCTAGCTATGTGATCTTGGAGCAAGTTGTTGAATCTCTCTGAACCTCATTCATAAAATGGGTAAAACAATATAGGTTTTATATATAAGGATATGCTTGTAAGAAGGAGCTAAAATGTACTCAGTGCAGTCAGCAGAGAAGGCAGTGTAGAATCAGCTTAATATTAGCTATTATTATCAGCAGATCAACTCCATAACCACCCCCCTCTTGGCATGGAGAAGGCTCCACTGGCAGGAAAGGTATATTTGGAAGCAGAAAAAAGGAAAGAATAATTACTTTGATGCACTGATGAACATTCCTAAGTTTTCTGACTGAACTGTTAAGGGGTATATATTTATGATGATAAATACTAGACTCTGAAAGGAAAAGCAGCAGCAATGTAAATGGTACTGTAACTGTTTTCCTTAATCCTAATCCATACACACCACTTTTTCCCTTTTGATGTGTTTGCTACACTACAGCTTTCTCACATTTGGAACTAAATGAATCAATTATTCTAACACATTTAAGAAACATTTAAAGGAACACCTTCATCTAGGAAAATGGTAAGGGGTTCATTCTTTTCAGGGTATTAAAAATAGGGAATTAGCAGTACAAACACAAGAATACACAGATATTACCACATATACATGCACCCCAAGAAATTCCAAATACCACAGTACCTAGCTGAGAACAGTGTTTACCAAATTAAACCAACATATTATATAATTTACTATGTTTCCCTTTTTCCTGACCAACAGAATCATGACAAACACCTTAGGAAATAAAGAGGCAAGTGCCAAAAATTTACAACATGTAAATTTAGCAGTTCATCTAAAAAATAGAAACATCATTTAAACCATCTTTTGAGAACCTTCCCATTATTTAGTTTGGGCCATTTAGGTCAAAAGACATCATTCTACCTTTTTTATTCCCCTCACCGATTCTCTACTTACCTTTTGAAAATTCAGGTACCTCAATGCCACTTCCATATTGTGTACCCAGTCTTTACCTCAGTCTTCTAACCCATTTCTTTGCCACAGCCTGGTTTTTTCCTTTCCTCCTCTGGGACACTTTTATGAGGTGATACGTGTTGTAGAATGTTAAAAGAGTATTTTCCGGTGAGAAAGGGGCAAATGATTCCAACCTGTCCAAGGTTCCTGGTTAGCGGTTAAGAATGAACTAAATCCCAGAATTACTGATTTCCAATTCCAACTTTTCTTTGCAACTTACTATATTTCCCTTTAATACTTTCCTTTGTGTCCTTTCTTGTAAAACCCTCCTTTATTCCTCACTTGTTAATAAAACACTTGTATTCACTCAAAATCCCTTAAACCCAAAGAACTCTTTTCAATTCTAATCATATTCAGATATTTTCTGAATGGAATCATCTGCCATAAAGAATGATAGGGTTTATCTTTATTTTTGATTGTTTTGTAATTTTTGAACTTGATACTTAAAAAGTACAAAGGTGGTGTTATGGGTTGAACTGTGTCCCCCCTCAGATCCCCATGATATGCTGAAGTCTTAAACTCAATTCCTATGAATGTGATCTTATTTGGTAATAGGGTCCTTGCAGATGTAATCAGGTTAAAATGAGGTCATTAGGGTGGGCCCTAATCCAATAGGACTGGTGTCCTCATAAGAAGAGGGAAATTTGGACTCAGACATAGAGGGAAATGAAGACAGAGACAGAGACTGGAGTTAGCACTGTTAGAAGTCAAGGAATGCCTGAGGCCAGCAGAAGTTGAAGAAGCAAGAAGGCTCTTCCCTTAGAGGTCCTGGAGGGAGAATGGCCCTGCCAATAACTTGGTTTTAGACTTCCAGCTTCCAGAATTGTGAAAGAACGTATTTCTGTTGTTTTAAAAGCCACCAAATTTGTAGTACTTTGTATAGCAGTCCTAGGAAACTAATACAGACAGTGAAAGTATAATTTTTCTAATTCCATTAGACAGTATTAGCATTATATTTAAATAGTCAAAGTGAAAGTATTCCCAAGTGTACATTACTTTAAAAAGGAAAAAAAAAATCTCTGTTTGGATTTTTTACATGATGGAATTAAAAGTCAAATACTCATAGAATGCCAATCCATATTCCAAATGGATTGATTTGGCCTTTGAAGGAAGTAATGAGATCGATAAGATATTTAATGATCACCATGCCCCATTAGAGCTGCACAGCACTGCACTCTTCACTTACCCCTTCAACCCACTGCTCAAGTGAAGAACGTGCTCGCTTACTTGTTATTAGCTGGTCCTGTTGCCAACACATCAGACTGTAACTTTGGAAAGAACCCTTGCTCATATTTGCCTTGACCAATTTTCATATCAAGCAGATGTGGGTGGATTGCCGTGTGATCCATTTTCATCAGTCGCTGCTCAATTGATTGGGCTATAAATTAAATTTATAACAAATTAGAGGCATTTCAATGGCTAAACCTTAAAACAATGCTTCCTCCACTCATGCACCAAGGAACTCAATCTGACACTCTAAAATAGATTTTTATAAAAGCTCTTGAGAAATCAGTGTAATGTAAGTATAAAAAGGTTAATTTTAAGTGAATACTAGATGACTAATTTTCATGGTATATTCTGCCTCTGTCAAAAGCAGGGCAGCAGGGTTGAAAAATCTTTAGTACTGAAACAAGTTTCCCTTAAGTGGGATATTCAGCATTTTAATACTTCAATATTTCAAAATTAAATATGTAAGAAAAATATTTTCTTAATGAAAATATGGTTCGAAGTACATTTAAGAAAAAGACGGCAAATAAAATATTGACCTTGAACTGCAAGACAGGGAAGGAAAAGCAAGCACAGTAGCCTTATATTACTTTATTTCTTTGTACAAAGATCCATTAAATATCCATAGTTCTCCAATTGTAAAAACAAGAAATGGTGTAAAGTTTATTACTTCACTTTTAGCAACAGTCACATTCTCATTAGTAGGAGTCATTCAGGAGTGTTTATTAGATCAAGAGGGGTAATGCAGAGAACAATAAAATAAGCAGGCATTTAGAAAATGTCCAGAGGATAAGAAACTGACCTTTTGAAGAATAAAATAGCCAAAGTTAAAAGATAGGAATGGCTAACATTTCTATTTAAAACCATTTAAAGTTAGGAGGGTATCTCCAAGACCCAAGAAAGACTGAACTATTTCTCTGGTAGAAAAATCTGATCTTAAATGTTTTTATGAACTGAATTTTCAAGAGAAAATATATTATTTGTGAAGCAAGACCAGGTCTTTAATTCTTTGCCTACAGAATACTAAAAGGGGAGAACAAGCAGTAATTGTGGTGGTGTCATAAACAGAAAGCACTCTGGGAACTGTTAATCTTTGGATTTAAGAGAAGTAAAAAGCTATTTTTGTAAGTATTTCATGGAACCAGTTTATTTTGCCTACTTTAATATCAGCAGATTGAGTACTGCTGGTTATTCCCCATACATAGTCTTAAAAACTTTCTTTCTGAGTGGAGAGGGGTCTGTCCTGGACATATTCCACACCTGTCAAAAGAACGTGCTTACTACCATCTTGTGTGAGATTAATGCTTCACCTAAGCCAGTTCCTTGTGCTTGATGACAGCATTAAGCGATGTTTATACAGATGTCACTATTACCCATGACTTAAACTTCACAATATTAGATACCTACTTCAAACTGCCCTAATTTTTCCTTTATAATTCATATGAACTTGCCCAAAACTTTTTTAAAGTTTTTTTTTTTTTTTAAGATTTTATTTATTTGACAGAGAGAGACACAGCGAGAGAGGGAACACAAGCAGCGGGAGTGGGAGAGGGAGAAGCAGGCTTCCCATTGAGCAAGGAGCCTGATGCGGGGCTTGATTCCAGGACCCTGGGATCATGACCTGAGCTGAAGGCAGACGCTTAATGACTGAGCCACCCAGGTGCCCCCTTACCCAAACCTTCTTGAATTTCACTTTATTTTTAATGTGTAACTTGTAACTTCTCTTAAAACATAGTCCATATGGTCTATGTTGGGTGAAAAGAATGCCATGTTTTAATGTGAAATGGTATTTAATTTTCAATGATACACTCTGGCTCTCCACAACCCTATCTATATTCTCAATGCTTCCTAATATTTATAAAACACTTAATTAACAGATGGTTCAGGCAAAATAAAGCTTAGATTCATGGCATGGAATTCTCTGAAGTCCCTGCCAATTTTATGTTCCATGAAATACTACAAAATTCCATCTCTGCCAATGAATGCTTCTGTTCTCATGAAAGGAAAAAAAAAAGCAGCTTCAGTTTTTCTGCTGGATTTAAAACGACAGAGAAATCCATCTGATACTGAGTTATTCTCCTTTAGTCAGGAAGCTTATTAAAAACAAAAAGCTTGATTCACAATGAGTTACTCTGGGGTTTATACTGAAGATTGCCATAGGGAGCATAATGCAATGTTACTTTTCAGTAATTATTCCACCAGTGAATACTGAACATTCAGAAATTATTAAATGCCTGCTTTGAGAGGTCATGGGCCCGTTAGATTTTCAAGGGTTTGTGCCAATACTCATTTTCTGTGATTGGTAAGAAAAAAAGAAAAACTCTGCATTACTATCAACTTGTCTTTCTGCACAGAAATCATGAGGTTCTGGTGCCACAATATCAACAGCAGATAGCCTCTGCCTAAAGAGTTCACCTGCAAATCAAAATTCTTTTTAGTTAGAGGCAAAACAAAAAAAAACAAAACAAAACAACAAAGGACAAAAACCCAACACAATAAAAATCCATACAAAGCAAGAAAATGCCAATCTCTGTAGTTATTGTTGGGGGGGCTGGGAAGAGGATAATTTTACTTGATGAAAGAAATAACTGCACCATTTATGGGGGATAGACGCAGTCACAGCCAGCTGCCTCCTTTTACTTAAAAAAAAAAAAGTCTTCGATAAATTAGGTTCCTTGGAGACTACTGCTTTAGCCCAATCTCATTTTCATATGTTAAAACTATAATGGTATATTTTCAAGAGAATTATGTAATTTCTGTGATGACAGTGGAATGTCAAACTTTTTGAGAGGCTGACAGAAAATCTATTTTAATTGAAAAGATTTTCTGGAAGCACACAAATAAAGGAATCACTGCTCCATTAAAAAAATTCTGTCAGGAAGGGAGGAATGAAATTTTCTCAACAAGGCATTATATTTTTCACATGGCTATTAAAGTACTGAAAGTCACACTGTTCTACAAATAGGCACAATTTCATTCATTCCACTCCCTCAATTTCCAGAAACATAGAGGTAACTGCCACTTCCTGAAGGGGCTCCAAGGATCTACTCTCATAAGTGGGAATACAACAGAATGATGTTTCAGTGACTTATCAAAGAGACCTTTTTTTTTTTAAGATTTTATTTATTTATTTGAGAGAGTGAGAATGAGAGAGAGAGAGCGCACATGAGAGGGGGGAGGGTCAGAGGGAGAAGCAGACTCCCCGCTGAGCAGGGAGCCCGATGTGGGACTCGATCCTGGGACTCCAGGATCATGACCTGAGCCGAAGGCAGTCGCTTAACCAACTGAGCCACCCAGGCGCCCTCAAAGAGACCTCTTAAGACTATATAAAGACATCATTTACATATTTCTTTCCTTAAATATGCTACAACTACAGCATCACCACTTCTGTGACTTTGATCTATTTAAATAAAGTGAGAAAGGCAAGCATAGAAACAGAGCAAGAAACTCTTTCCTGCCTCTTTTTGCTCCAGAGGAAAACTTGCTCAAATAGCTTCTATATTAGAAGGGGGAAAAAAATGAAAAAAAAGGGACACTCAAGTGATGGGTATCAGTTTATTTGGCAAAGAAAGTGTTAGGAACAAGGTATAAACGTATAAAATTGTGTGGATTGGTAACTGTAATAAAGTATTTATTTATTTGTCAGCGAGAGAGAGAGAGCACAAGCAGGGGGAGTGGCAGGCAGAGGGAGAGAAGCAGGCTCCCCGCTGAGCAGGGAGCCCGATGCGGGGCTCGATCCCAGGACCCTGGGATCATGACCTGAGCTGAAGGCAGACACTTAACCTACTGAGCCACCCACGCATCCCACTTCACATGTTTCTTTACTAAACAAACATCTAATGTGGTATTAAGGCTTCAGGTGCTAGAATTAGTCAAATCTGAATTCAAATCATGCTCCATCAATCACTAGCTATGCAATCATAAGCAAGCTACTTAACCTCTCAGCTTTCTCAACTGTAAAATGAGGACACTAATAAAACAAAAGTAAATGTGCTTACACTCCCTCATTGTTAAGATCAAAGGCAAAATGCATGTAAAACATGTGGTATGATGTTTAGCACATAGTAAGTACTCAGTAAATACTGGCTATTAATATGATTATTTATTTAATGGACTATATTACTGCCAGACAAGAATGGCCAAGACTCTAAGGGAAAAACTGTGTCCGAGTTGGAAAACTCTAATTTGAATACAGGAATCCAGAGATTTAATTTCAATAAGTGAAACTATTAAAAATTAATGGCCCCACTAAAGAGTAAATATACTGTTACAGTTATATAAATTAAGCATCTCAGATTTATTAAATCAATACTTACCTTTCCTTTAATGAAAAGAAGTGAGAAGTAAAAAGCAACATAAGCAGCAAGAAAAATTTACATTTTTTCAATTAAGGCAATAAAAGAGAATAAGACAAAATTCACAGCAACCTTATGGTTATATTACATTCAATTTGTTACTGTTTTTCTCCCTTCTTTCTTTCTTTTTTTTTTTTTTGGAGGGGGGAAGGGCAGAGGGAGAGGGAGAGAGAAAGAATTTTAAGCAGGCTCCACGCCCAGCACGGAGCCGGATGCGGGGCTCTATCTCAAGAACCTGACCATGACCTGAGCCGAAATCAAGAGCTGGATGCTTAAATAACCAAGCCATCCAGGCGCCCCTGTTTTTTCCTCTTCTAAGGGCAGAGGAATGTCAAATAGGAATGGAATGGACATTAACTCACAGAAACAGAAGGAAACAAAACTACAGAAAACACCTGATGTAGTATAAAGGATTAACCATGAAGTCTAAAACTGAAAATTAATTTTCGGTTTATAAGGCCAACATTGTGTAAAAAGAAACGATCATGGATTTTAATTTTAAAAGGCATGACAAATATACCTGCTTCTTTTAAAGTGCTGCATTTCTGATAAATAGATGTCCTCAAGGTGGGTGCCCTTACATTATACAGTCTCATCTTCTCAATCCGAGAGTCAAAGACCCGAAGCAAAGAATCCTTCTCTTCCCACTGAGACATAATTTTATTATCAATAAAGGTGGCAAACATCTGTGTTTCAATGAAGCGTGAAAGAAATGGCAGGTAAGGCTCAGGCTGGTCAGAGAGAAAGGAAGCCTGTAATGAGATAATTAGAAATTATTAGAGCAAGGAGACTATCTTAGTACTACGTGATAAATCTGAAAATTTGTTGGTGAGGTCATTTTTTAAAAATCGTGTAACATGCAGAACTGATGCTTGATATTTAAAAATCTCAAAAGATCACTTCTCCTTCTAAATTCACGGAATTTAGGTCACTTAGGCCTTTAGCACTGATCCCACCTTTCAAAATTGATTTACATTCTGGTACTCATAATCATTAGGTAGAAAAGAGGGCATTACTAATGAAAGAGGGTGGATCAAGTTATCGTCAATCATCCTCTTACCAATAATTTCTGACCCTTTCCCAGTGAACTGTGATTTTTTTCCTGCTCTCTATTCCTAGCCTATGCAGTGTATCGCTGAGTCATAAGGCACTTACATGATCAATGAGTATGATTGAGATATACACATAAGTAATAACCTTAAAAAAACATGGAATTTGTGCTTATGGGTGAAATCTGGTTTCTCAAGTGGATGTTTTTCTAGGCCCCAACACTGTTTGAGACTGATGGATGAGTGCTAATTCAAGATCAAACTCCTTCCAGACCTGTGTCTGGGCCTTAACTAAAATAAGTATTGCCTGAAAAACCATCCAAAGCAAGCTGGGCCTTTAGAAAACATGTACAACCAGCTGCACGTTCCTGTTACCAGCTTGTCTGGTGCATGGAATGGTTCAGTAAATTGTGATCAGTTCCTAATTCAAAGTGTTTTTTTTTCTGTGGTTCTTCAGGTCCATGTGTTTACAGGAATTCTAGTCACAGTTTGATACTAGCTGAAATTTGGAAGTGAATTATTATTTCAGCTCCTGGGCTGGTTTTGCTTTTCACTCTTTTGAGTAGGTGCAGTGTGGCAGAAGCGGGAAGGCGAAAGATGAAAGGGTAAGCTCTGACATAAGATTAGTCTCCTTAATACTCATTGGCTTCTTCCGAGCGTATTTATTTTTCATTCTAAAATTTAGGAAGCCTTTAAAAAAGTTCCTTATAGAAATGCACTTATTCAATTTAAGCGCTACCAGGGTTCAGATGTGTTTACATAAATCCAAATAGCCAGTGAAAGGTTCACAGTAGTCTCTGAAAACCAATTCACCTCTTCAAAAGATATTTTACAGATAAATACCAATTTTACTTTTTCTAGAGCGAACAGTTTTCCTTCTCCCTCTAAATGGGCCAAATATCTGGCTTTTGATATTCAGACCCTCATGGACTACAACACTTAAGTTAGCAAAGACTTGGTTTGGAGGACTAGGATGTGATAGTCCTGTACATTTTCCTAGTGAAAAATGAAATGATTACAAGCCTTCTGGAATCCAAATGAAACTTTCATTTCTCTAGTGGTTATATAAAAAGAATTCCATTTATAGTCTGAAACTACATAAAGATTAAGAAGGAAGAAAGTACCAGTGCTTGATTTAGATAAAAATTTGAATTGCCCCAAGGATAAATCATGAGTGTACACAGATTAGTTCCGAGTAGGATAGGAAAAAAACGGTTAAGCTTAATAAGAAAGGAACCTAAAAGTAGGAATACATTTGGAGAAGTGAAGGCTTTTTAATTTATTAAGGAAGTTTTCTCAAACATAAAATGCATCAGAACTTACTGCTGAATGTAGTTTATAACTTCAACTGAAAAAATGTCTGATGAAATCAGAAAATAATCTTTGATACTACCAACCTTTACAAAAAATGTTTATTAATATTTACTTGTCAGAGACTCCACAATTGTAGATTAGCCTCTTAGAATACATTAGCCCCTTTTAGAGGTCTTTCATGACACAATGCTACCATTTAGCAAAAAACCATAATGCATTCTAATAGCAACATGATGCCTTGGCAGTCACAGAGGCAGGGGACTGAACTACACCCTACTGACCTGAAAGAGTAAATGCACACCTCTAAGTGCTTTTGTCTGGAAAACAAAAACAAGCTAAAAGACTGGTGGATATGTCCAGAAAATCTGCCAGAAGAATACTCTATAGTAAACCTTAGAAAGAAGCTTCAACTTCAGCAGGACAACTGAAAGCCAGTGTCATTTTCTATCTTCCTTTCCCACAAACTTTGGAACAGAACCTTAGACTTACAGTCATAAAACCTAATTCATTCACTTTTTCTCTCTTTTGATCCTAAGATGAGGTAAAACTTTGTCTTCTGAAACTAAAGTGCTATCTTTACATGGACAAGTTGAGATGTCATCATAGGATGAAGACAAAATGTAAGAATAAGTTCTTAATGGGAAGGGAGAGAGGAAAAATCTGTAGTTAAAAAAGTTAGCAAAATCAGTAATGACAGCCCACTAAGAGCCATAAAAAAAGGGAAACGAAGTGTTTTTTTTTTTTACTTTGTCAAAGTTCTGCATCTGTTCTCGGTTGGTCAGCCAGGATTCCATGTCCTGGGCAGTCTGAATCACAAATGCTTCATAATCTGCAAACATCTGTGTAAAGCGGTTAGCAAAGACCTCACGGAGCTGCACGTTGAGCTGGTAGTCCCTTAGTTCTGCCTCTTCACACTGAAGTTTTAAATCCTTTTCTTTTTCACTCAGTGTGGCAGAGAGATCCATTTTTTCCACGGTCACACCGGTCCGCTTGGCCAGAGCTTGGAGGCGGGCTATGGTTTCATTGCCCTTCAGTAACTCGTACATGCTGATGTTGTTAGTGGAGACGTTGCCATTCTTTTTGTCATTAACCAAGTCCTTCAGAACCAGATTCTTCAGTTTTGTGGCACTCTCACTGCAATGGAGGCTACCCTCAGGAGGGATCCCAAATTGAAGAAGCACTTCAGAGAGTTCCTGGATAAAATCCACCTTATTGGGGAATTGTGGAAATTCTTCAGGCAGTTCAATAAAATGGTTGTCAATATCCACAAAACACAAATTAGCCTGAAAGAAAAATACAAAGGTTTTAAAATAACATTTTTATATTCTAAAATATTCTTGCCAACTATTATAAACAAACTCATAGATTACACACTGCCTCTTTCTAAATTGAGATATATCTGACACATAACATTTTGCTTCAGGTGTGTGATTCAATAAAAATTATGAAATGATCACCACAGTAAGTCTAGTTAACATCCATCACCACACATAATTACAATTATTTTCGTGGAACAAGAACTTTTAAGACCTTACAATACCTTTTATGTTAACTTTCTGAAGGTTAATTTTTATTCTTTAAAAATAAATTTCTTGGGTGCCTGGGTGGCTCAGTCGGTTAAGCATCTGCCTTCAGCTCAAGTCATGATCCCCGGGTGCTGGGATCAAGTCCCACATCAGGCTCCCTGCTCGGCAGGACTCTGCTTCTCTTTCTACCCCTCCCCACTGCTTGTGCTCTCTCTCATGATATCTCTCTCTCTCAAATAAAATCTTAAAAAAAAATAATAAAAATAAAAATAAATTTCTTTTTCCAGCATTTTTCCCCTAGTATTCTATACCATATTTAATAAAAATGGATAATTTTCTCTGGGTCTTAGCCATTTCTTATCATCTGGACACGATTCTGTAATATATGACATCTCTTCGGCATTCCTAAATGAGTAAAGGTGCACAGAGTTGTAGTACCTTACAAACAGAAGGCACTGGGTAAAATGAGCACGGATGAATCCAGTCGGAACTTTCTATGCCATTCCACTTCTATGACACCATTTGTAATTTCGAATTAACAATAACTGCTATATTTTAGCAGCTATAGTCCCCACAAATGGGCTGAAATTGGCAAAGAACAATCCAATTCACAGAATAGCCACAAATTTTCACTTTATCCAAAATTAGTTTCAACCTCTTAGCAAAACCATTTCAGAAGTTATTAGACAAACAGCAGGAGGCAGAGAGTGGTAGAGGCAAGCGCTTAGACAATTACAAATGATTACCCCTTGAATAATTAAGAGTTGATTCAGGAGATTTTTTTCTTTTTAAAGATTTTATTTATTTGACAGAGAGAAGACACACAGAGAGAGGGAACACAGCAGGGGGAGTGGGAGAGGGAGAAGCAGGCTTCCCACCGAGCAGGGAGCCCGATGCGGGGCTCAATCCCGGGACCCTGGGATCATGACCTGAGCCGAAGGCAGACGCTTAACGACTGAGCCACCCAGGCACCCCAATTCAGGAGACATTTTTTGAGTTGGAAAAAAAAAAGAGGAAATAGAAATCAGAGGAAAAATTTTTTTGAGTTTGCTTACACTATAGATTTTGAATTTATATTGAATAAAAAGACTTTTAAATATTTTCCAAATAGTTATGAACAATTCAAGGGGCCAAGTACATGCATGAAATTCTCATTATCCCTTAGGTACATGATTATAGTAGACTCCAAAACAACATTTTACTTTTCCTGTTCATACCCTCTTAATCAGAATGAGGTTGTCAGTGTAAAGGAAGATTGTGCTCATGGACTGTGGAAGGGTGGGAGGCCAAAGGTATAGCCGATCCCATAAAACTGAATCTGACTACATTAGTGGCTGGACACAGGGCACAGGGTGGAACTCAACCAACAGAAGAAGTTTCACTTCGAGTTTCCCCATCTCTCCCACAGCCCTGCCACCTAGGTCAGCAAGGAGACAATTCACACTACCCTTTGATCCTGTGTGGCAACGTAAGGTGAAAACAGGAGAGCAAAGAGTTGGGTTTTTATTTTTCTCTTTGGATCCCTGCTCTTTATGTCAGGTGCTAAAGCACATAAAGTACAAATTTCTATATTTAGCTCAATCAAAACTCAAGATTTCCCCCATTTGAAAACAGAGAATCAACAATGGTTCCTCTCAAGCCTGAAGTGACCTCTGAATCCAACTCTTTAATTTTGCAGATGAAGAAAATTGAGGCCCAAGAAGTTAGGCGACTTCCTGACACCTGTTCCCGATAAGCATCATCAAACAGCCTGGTGGCTTAAAAGATTTTTTCCCTCCCATTTTCCTCATCTCCAACATCAGTAGTTTCCCTTAAGTAAAACAAGAGATGAAGTCAAATCTTGCTGAAGACACGTATTGCTGCCTACAGCTTTCTTTAAATCCACATCGTTATATACGTATCTACAGTCTCTAGGAAAGCAGGATGTGTTGAAAGGCTTAGGGGGAGAAAGTAGGTCACTATAATTCAAATGGATGATTCAGTATCTTTAAAAATGGAAGAAAAAAATTCACTAACTTGCTAATCTAAATGTTAGCCAACCAACCTCCCACCACTTACATTTTGTACTGTCTTCTTCATTAATGCCTTCCTGCTATCCTTTTCTATCCTTCTTCTATAAAAGAGAAAATGCTACATCTGGGAAATTTTAAAGCTTGCTATGCTCATACAATCACTGATGATCTGAAAGGGTACGGCAAGGTGCACGTTCCAGCACCACACTACTGGCCTGTCTTCATGTTCCCATGAGTCTCTCATACCCTCCCTATGACTGCTTAGATGGGCCCAAGTTGGGGCTTTGATTATCACAAAATGAAAACAGGATTAACTTGTGTTATGAAGACTTAAGAAAAACCAAAAAGCCTTTTTTCTAAAACAAAGAAGAACACCATACAATAGGGCATACGGATAAGTCACTTTTTAAATATTAATACCATTAAACTAAAAAATTATCAGAAGAGCTCAAGAAATTTTATATACACAATAAAAAATACACTCGATTCTCAGTTTTACATTGTTTTAGGACTATATATTTCTATATCTTAATTGCTCAATGCTGCTCACACATTCATGGTAAGTTATCACTTCTAGTTAAAAATGAAAAACATGGGGGCGCCTGGGTGGCTCAGTCATCAAGCGCCTGCCTTCAGCTCAGGTCATGATCCCAGGGTCCTGGGATTGAGCCCTGCATCAGGCACCCTGCTCAGCGGGAAACCTGCTTCTCCCTCTCCCACTGCCCCTGCTGTGTTCCCTCTCTTGCTGTCTCTCTGTCAAATAAATAAATAAAATCTTAAAAGAAAAAAAAAGAAAAACATTCCCTCAAAAGAAATGCAACAAAGACTTGAAGTTGATTTCTTCTGCCATGAAGCTTTCCTATGTCCCTACCCTAAAGGCATTCTGATTTCCTCTGCATATATACTTAGTTCATTCATTCCTTACTTATTTTTTTAACCTGTTATTTATATTTGTAAATGACTTATTTTGGAAATCAGAAATTATATCTTATTTATCTTAATGTCTCCTACACTGGTAGTGTATGAGACAACTGGTGAATGAACGAATAAGGCTCAAGGAGATGGTCATTTTGTGGCACCCAAAACATGTACAGAGGAGGAGGAGGTGTCCAGGAATGTGAGGCCAGGGCAGCTCTCTCCATGCTTAGTAAGGGATACAGTTTCTCAATGGCTGAAGTTAAACTGGCAAAGGGTAAGCCAGAGGAGAACATTTAAAATATTCCCACAGAGGGGCGCCTGGGTGGCTCAGTCGTTAAGTGTCTGCCTTCGGCTCAGGTCATGATCCCGGGGTCCTGGGATCGAGTCCCACATCAGGCTCCCTGCTCAGTAGGCAGCCTGCTTCTCCCTCTCCCACTCCCCCTGCTTGTGTTCCTGCTGTCACTGTCTCTCTCTCTGTCAAATAAAATCTTAAAAAAAAAAAAAACCCTTAGAAAAAATAAAATAAAATATTCCTATAGAATCTCAGGTAAGATACAACAAAAAGAAAGTGGAAAAGCAATTCTAATTTAGTGTTTTGATTTTTTTGCCTACTATTTACTGTAAAGATAAGCAAGAATGGGAGAAAGTGAGGTACCATTCTCTGAAATTCATTCTCAGTACTATATTCTTCTACCATCACTCTCCCCACCCCAACCCCCCAAAAAGGAATATAACAAAATGGCTACCTGTGCCTATCATTTTAGAACTATGGGGAAAGTAAGTGGGTGGTTAATTATAAGTCTATGTACTTACATTAGTTAGGTAACAACTAAAATCATACCTTCTTAAAATAATCATTTGTAAACTTACCATTTTCATAACTATTCTAAGTAACCCTGTCACTATTTTTCTTTCTTTTTTTCACTATTTTTAGCTATTATTTTTATTTTATTTTTTTAAAGATTTTATTTATTTATTTGAGAGAAAGAATGAGAGAGAGAGAGCACATGAGAGGGGGGAGGGTCAGAGGGAGAAGCAGACTCCCTGCCGAGCAGGGAGCCCAATGCAGGTCTCGATCCCGGGACTCCAGGATCATGACCTGAGCCGAAGGCAGTGGCTTAACCAACTGAGCCACCCAGGTGCCCGCTATTATTTTATTTTACAGTTTTCAGGGAAAGGAGGGAGGAGGTGAATATTATGAGTCGGTATATTTAAATCACTTTTTAAAATGGCTTTTTTTTTTTTTAAAGATTTTATTTATTTGACAGAGAGAGAGACAGCGAGAGAAGGAACACAAGCAAGGGAAGTGTGAGAGAGGAAGCAGGCTTCCCGCTGAGCAGGGAGATGCGGAGCTTGATCTCAGGACCCTGGGATCATGACCTGAGCCAAAGGCAGACGCTTAACAACTGAGCCACCCAGGTGCCCCCAAAATGGCTATTTTTATACTTACTTTTCCAAAATTATGTGAAGTTGATTATTTCATCTCACTGTAAAATATTACGAGCACAAAGTGACCTGTGTGCGTTCTAAAGATAAACAAACTTAAAAATTCTGAACGCTCTTGCAGCAATGTCTGTGATTTTCTAATTTCCTACTCATTAAATCAACACTCTTTAATAAATGTACATGCTCATCTAGTCAGAGAGTAGAATAACAGGAAATAACCTGGGTCAGCTGTGAAAATAGTGCTTCTGTATAGAAAATATATGTTAGTATATCATTATTTTAGAAGAAAATTCTAACAGCTGACCCAGGTTATTTCCTGTTTATTCTACTCTCTGACTAGATGAGCATGTACATTTATTAAAGAGTGTTGATGTAATGAGTAGGAAATTAGAAAATCACAGACATTGCTGCAAGAGCGTTCAGAATTTTTAAGTTTGTTTATCTTTAGAGCCAGAGAATACATGCTGATATGTAGAGAAAAAGATTTCTCCACTACAAAAATATCTAGGTGGCATTTAAAAACTCTCAACAATTATAACTCATGTAAAAATGGAAATATAATATTTATACACCTAAAACATACTGTCTTATAAAATATCATTTGATGAATATACAAACAGACCAGATACTCAACAGGAAACTAAAACATGTCACTATTTAAGTCCTTAAGCTTAAGTTGCATTTAAAATAGATTTGGTTATTCTATTTCTTTTTCATTGGAAATTTAAAGGATTACTTCTTTGAACCAACAAGATACTTAGATTAATCTAGATTAATCTAATAAAAGAGAAAACAAGAGAGTTCAGGTAATAGAGAAAAGAGATATACTGGGGAGGCAAAAGTAGACACGCATAAGCTCAAAAAGAGCAAGACAGCTTAAGTATGTATTTTATATGATCTGAATCAAGCTATTTTCCCCTGAACAAAAATGTTAATTTTGGTAGGGAAGCATTCATTGGGATAAAGTAAGCAATGGATGATTACAGGAATCATTACTGGGTACACAATGGCTGTGGCTTAGTGTGTTATTTTAAATTCACTTATTAAAATGAGAACCTCTTTGGGAAATAAGAACAAATAAAAGCAAAGCACAGCATTGAAGATTTTATTAAGAAAGGTGCTAATTAAATAGCTAATAATATAAAGTCGTTAACTACTTAATGTTTTGCAATAGGCCATGGCACTCTCATCAATATTTCATTTCAAAGGTTTTACATTCCAATTCTGAGTATCATTAATGACAGCCAAAAACTAGATTCAAAATGCTTCCAAGAATTCCTATTTTCTTCTTAAACTACATCTGAAAATACAACACACAGAAAGCATAATAATCTTAAGTGGTCTAAAAGCTAGGGGTTAGCATTTTTATCTCAAAAAAAAAATTTTTTTTTTTAAATCTCAATCATCTAGTCAAGCTAACATTTAGAAAAAGTTGGTAACCAGCTGTAAGTCTGAAAACAAAGAATATTAAAGTATTTGATACTTCCATTACCCATAGCTTGCTGAGAGATGTTACTTTCATTTGATGGAAGTCAAGAATCAAATTCATCTCAATTAATACAATGACTTTAAAGAGTTTAATGATGTGAAAACCTGGGTTATATTGTTTAAAAGCAGAATTTATAACATGAATGGAGGAAAAAGAAATTAAATGTTATTAGAATAATAAAGCAACTAGACCATGCTACTGTTGTTCCATCTTCACAAATTTAAAGCTGTGAAAATTTGTCACTGTCCTGTTTGAACCATGCTGAATTAATGACTAGTCATGGTAACCCTCAGAAGTCAGATCTGTACTCTATGGCTCAGGCTCTACCCGAGCCCTACTTGGGAGATTCAGGACAGTCAGAGACACAGTTTGGACAAAGACAATGCTGTCTAACAATAAAGTGGCCTTGACCTAAATCAACAAACAGCAAATGCTTTATCACTCATTATAAGTTTTACCTCTTGAGGAAGTTCTAGCTTAGAACGGTCAGTTCCTTCTTTTGACTGAAGGCCCATCAGATAAGGGACAGGAGCATCAAGAAAATGTAGCAGAGAAGCAGGGAGGATGGGCACATAAACATGCTGCCATTGAAATGGGAACAAAAGTGTGGTGATGCCTTCCGCCACAGTCATCAAGCGTTGATAATCTGTACAGAACAAGGAAAAAAGGAGGGGAAGATTCCAAATAAAAACATAATCACTGCATTAAGCTTGAAAATACTAATTTCCAGGAAAAAAATCTTGTTGTAATAAATAAAATGTTTCTTTATGATCATGCAGAAAATAGGTCAATTCTATCCCAGCATAATTAAAGAGTTAATGGTTTCACTTGAATGGTACTAAGGGGTATGAGTAGGTGGGAAACATCTCGTTCTTGCTTCTCAAATAACCAGTATGTAAGTTTACACTCCCTTAAAATGTGGAGGAAACAAGAACTGATAGAATTGCTCTTGGCATGTAGACCATCGAAAAGGTACCAGGATATTGCTACTGATTACATTTTGTATACATGCATATCAATGTAATTCCCAATTCAGAGGCTCTTTTTTTCTTGTATATATGATCATGGTTATCGGGATTGTATTTATTTCAGCCTTCATTTTGTGGGTCTAAGAAATCAAACAGATAAATGCATTCATAATCATACTTCCTATATTTAACCCCCAACTACATAACTATCAAATCTGGAAACAAAGTGAAAGTTACCTGAAAATTAAAGTTTGATTCTTGTTTGTGTTTTCTTCACATGAATTAATCAAAACTACAAACTGCTAACAATATATTAAAGTGCCCTCCCCATTTTATTGCAATATAATTGACATATAACACTGTATTAGTTTTAGGTATATGACATAATTATTTGATATATGTATATATTGCAAAATGATTACCACAGTAAGTTTTGTTAACATCTATTATCTCACATACTTTCAAACAAAGTGCCCTCTTAAACCACTCTGCCATAGAGGTGCTTTATACATTATTGTCTGTAAACCTCATTTAAACCTTTGGAGGCAGATGTGTTTAGAATTCATTTATTTTTTATAAAGGTAATATTGTGGGGTGCCTGGGTGGCTCAGTCGGTTAAGCAAGCATCTGCCTTCAACTCAGGTCATGATCCTGGAGTCCTGGGATCAAGCCCTGAGACCCGAGTAGGGTTCCCTGCTCAGCAGGGAGTCTGCTTCTCCCTCTCCTTCTGCTCCTCCCCCAGCTCGTGCTCTCTTTCTCACTCATTCTCTTGCTCTCTCAAATAAATAAATAAAAATCTAAAAAAAAAAAAAGGTAATATTGTGCATATACCATATACATGAAATATCTAGGGCAGCACCCTGTAATAAAACACATTAATATTTCTGCAGCAAACTTTATGAGTATCCTAATAAGACAGATAAAGAATTTAAATAGGGTCACTTTGGTTCAGGTCTGCTTTTTCAATAAATGAATTATAAAAAGAATCTTTTATTTTCTGAAATTTTTTGGATTTGAAAATTGAAGAGAAAGGATTATGGCCTTGTAATTTTCCTCTCACAGAATTCACCGGGCACAAAAACAGTAAAATCTGGGGGAGTAAGATTTTGGGGAAGTCTTTCAAAAAAGGTTAAGAAAACGATCAGATGCTATTTGGTTCACAGCAACCCAAAGAACACCTGACCAAACATAAACAGGATGTTTTCTGCTTAAAAATCTTTCTTGTGTTGTTTTATAATTTGTATACAACTACCTTTAATAGTCTACAGTGGGATTCTGGTAATGAATCATCAGCTATCCATAGCCAAGTATACTTAGAGGTTTCCTTATGTGATTCACTATTAAGACTTAAATTTTATGGGGTGCCTGGCCGGCTTAGTTGGTAGAGCATGTGATTCTTGATCTTGGGGTTGTAGACTTGCGTCCCACGTTGGGTGTAGAGATTACTTAAAAAAAATTCTTAAAAGAAAAAAAAAGACTTAAATTTTAGGTGAAAACCTGTTTATAGGAATACTTTAAAAACACAAATACCAGGGGGCCTGTGGGGTAGGGGTCAGACATAGGAACATGAATAGCTGACCAAATTACCTCAGGTGGGGACATGGACACACCTGAACATGAACACACACGTGCACACATACACACACCAGCTAGGACACACATGAACATGAACACACACACGTGTACACGTACACACACACACACACACACACACACACCAGCTGAGGCCCAGAGAAGCTGGGCTGAGACAGCTGGTACTCTGTGGAGATGGGGTGGTCAAAGGAGATCAAATAATCAGCTACCTACCACTTTGCTGGTCAACAGGCAGATGTCTGAGCTATAGGAGATGGGGTGTTTCATCACACGGGTAGGGGTGGGCAGCTGACCTGAAACCCTGAAATCTGTTGAATGTCCCTATAACTGTAGCTCTGAACTACAACAGGACTCCATAATGGCCTTGCCCTGTGGGCTTTTTTCTTCACTGTGGGCTCAGTAAGGACAGGGTGGTACCCATTTGCCCATAAAGCACAGGGCCTAATTTATTAGCAGTGCTGATCAAAATTTACTGACCACTCCCACCAAAATTTTCTTTTTGAGAGAGAGACCATGCACAAGCACATGTGCAGGGGAAGGAGCAGAGGGAGACAGAGTGAATCTCAAGCAGACTCCACGCTCAGCATAGAGCCTGATGTGGGGCTTGATCTCATGACCGTGAGATCATGACCTAAGCTGAAATCAAGAGTTGGATGCTTAACCAACTGAGCCACCCAAGCGCCCCTACTGACCAAATTTAATGATGCTACCCAATGTTATAATTTTCTCCTCTTATTGTAAAAGTCCTAACAAAACACAAAAAAATAAGGGGTAGGAAGGCATGCAGATAAACTAGGAAAAGGCCAAATTCAGGGAAATGTCTAAGATGGCTACCCATTTCAACCAAGGATTGGAGTCTTTTTTATTTTTGTAACTTTGGCACCTTATCTCAGTATCTGACATACAACAGATGTTCAAATTAAAAAAAAAAATTAAAGATTTTATTTATTTGAGAGAGAGAGAGAGAGAGAGAGAGAGAGATAGAGAGGATGAGCAGGGGGAGGGGCAAAGGGAGAAGGGAAGCAGGCTCCTCGCTGAATGCGAAGCCAGAGCCTGACATGGGGCTGGATCCCAGGACCCCGAGATCATGACCTGAGCTAAAGGCAGATGCTTACTGACTGAGCCACTCAGGAGACCCTCTAAAAATATTTTTTAACAAATAAATGAATTAGTGGGATAAGACTACATAATTTTGCTGGATATCCACAACTTAAATAGACAATTGGTTAGATTTTGTCCATAAGAGACTAAAGAACTAATTTTTCAGTAGGAGAAAATGGTAACTACTCAGATGAGAAACTGCATTCAAAAATCACATTTCTTGGATATTCACACATTGAGTTAATTATCTGCATGCCCACTTATAAAGAAAATTCAAATATCCATTTACTAAGCCATGGATACTGTTCATTACACAAAGAATTTTTTACCGGGATGCCTGAGTGGCTCAGTTGGTTAATCAACTGCCTTCAGCTCAGGTCATGACCCTGGAGTCCTGGGATCGAGTCTCGCATCAGGTCCCTGCTCAGCAGGGAGTCTGCTTCTCCCTCTGACCCTCCCCCCTCTCATGCTCTATCTCATTCTCTCAAATAAATAAATAAAATCTTAAAAAAAAAATTTTTTTTACCAAGTAACTCATTCTATGTTTAAGTAAACCATGTAGGGATCAGAACTACTGTTTAGGAATAATTACCAGATCTAAACATCTTTTTCCTCCTTTATATTAAAAATGTAAAGATTTTAATAGTGAAATATGATGCAGGTTTTCCAAGGCCCTTCAGAGTAGAAAAAGGACTCTCAGGAAGCCCCCAAAGCTTTTTGGAAGTGACTAGAGAATTAAAGCACATTGTTGCTCTACCAGGAAGATGTATTCCACATGTCACTCCTGAGGTTTGAGGAAAACAGAGCTCATTGAAAAATTAAGAGAAAGGAAAAAAAAAATTGAGAAAGAAAAAATTAACTTCACAGCCACCTTATTTATATATTTTACGATTCGACTGTATTCAAAATGTATAGTATGTACTATGTAGAAGGGCTGTTAGAAAAATAACTTGATTGTTCTGGTATTTATGTGCTAACTTTTAAAAATTGCTAATCGTCAGGGTCCCTGGCTGGCTTAGTCAGAAGGGCATGCAACTCTTCACTTTGGGATGGTGAATTTGTGACCCACGTTGGGTATAGAGATTACTTAATAAAAATGTAAAAAAATAAAATAAATAAAAATTGCTTTAGTTTTACTGTGGGTTTCTACAGTTTTATTGTCATAAAAAGTTATAAACTATTATTGGGGTTTTTTGGGACTGCTGAAGATTAGTTTTCTAAGACAATCACTTCCTTAAAATTAAAGTCAATGTTTCTCATTTAACTAGTTTCTTTAGGGAAAAAAAAAAGCAGTAACACTAAAATCTAGGTTTTAAAAAAGAATTAGTTTTTACACAACATTAAATGGGAAAAAAAACTACTTAAAACTACTTAAGTAATTTAATGTAGGGGGATATTCTTCCTTCAATCCCTTACCCATTTCTAATTTATGAATACCTTACTTAAGAATAATGTTTGTTTGAAGATTTTACCTACTTGAGAGAGAGAGAGAGAGAGAGAGAGAGAGAGAGAGAGAGTACCCGCACACACAAGTGGGGGGAGGGGGGGGGGGGAAGAGGGAGAGGGAGAAGCGGGCTCCCCACTGAGCAGGGAGCCTGGGGTGGGGGGTGGGGGTACTGAGATCATGACCTGAGCCAAAGGCAGCCGCTTAACCAATGGAGCCACCCAGGTGCCCCTAAGAATAATTTTTTTTTTTTTAAGATTTTATTTATTTGAGAGAGAGAGAACGAGTCGGGGGCAGAGGCAGAGGGAGGGGGAGAAGCTGACTCCTTGCTGAGCAGGGAGCCCGATGCGGGACTCGATACCAGGATCCAATCCCAGGACCCTGGGATCATGACCTGAGCTGAAGGCAGATGCTTAACTGACTGAGCCACCCAGGAGCCCCAAGAATAATGTTTTTAAGGGGTGCCTGGGTGGCTCCATCTGTTAAGCGTCCAATTCTTGGTTTGATCTCGTGGGTTGTGGACTCCTCGCTCAACAGGGA